ATTTTCTTTAAAAAAAAAAAAAAAAACCTTAGTTCCTATAGGACAGTGGTTCTCAACCTTTTTAATGCCGCGACCCCAACCGGTCATAAGTCGAGGACTAAACCGGTTGTAAGTTGAGGACTAAACCGGTTGTAAGTCGAGGACTAAACTGGTCGTAAGTCGAGGACTATCCAACCGGTCGTAAGTCGACTTTCTCTGCCCGGGAGCGCAGCACATGCGTGGTTCCGCCCCCTGCGCCGGCCGAGGCGTAGCTGGCAAGCAGCAGAGACGGAGCAGGCCGACCACCAGCTGGCCCAGCCCAAGGGAGGTAAGGCATCCGCCGGAAAAGGGGGAAAAAAATGGCGGGCAAAAAAATGGCGGATAAAAAAAATGGCGGACAGCCTTGCTTGGCGACCCCCGTGAAATGGTCGATCGACCCCAAATGGGGTCCCGACCCACAGGTTGAGAACCACTGCTATAGGGAGAATGGCACAAAGAAACTTATTGGATGTTGCAGTGCTATATATATAATGAAATGTAAATAGACATGATGTATTTTAGCAATTAATTTCTTTCCCAGGTCTGTACAGGAGATGATTGTGAGGGAAAAAAAATCGACTTCCCCCCTCCCCCGCAATGTGCTTATGAATGTTTTTTTAGTGCAATAACAGTTTGAGCTGGGAAGCTTTGCTTTCATTTTTATTTGATTTTCAAACGTTCATGTAAAAATGGTAAAGATGTGGGTATTCATGAAGAAAATAGGCAGCAAGGCACAAGAGATCTTACATTCCCTAACTGCTGTCTTTTAAATGATAAGACTGCCACCAACAACAAGGAAGTGCACTTGGAATGCTATCCATTTAACATTGTCATCTTTAAAAAATAAATAGATTTTTAAAAAAACCTCAGTATGTGTTTTTTTTTTTTTTTAAAAATACTTTTAGTCCATATAGATTACAGTATCTGAATGTTTTAAGTCCATTTGTGGTTTCTACTCAGTACTGATTATACCAAAGCAGTATTATAACAATATAACGA